TCTATCTATCTATCTATCTATCTATCTATCTATCTATCTATCTATCTTTGTTCATTTGATTCTATAATATATAATGATATATATTTTTTAATAATAGTAGCAGTGACTAATAGAGGCTGTGCATGTAGAGGTAGTAGTAGAGGATGAGCTCAATGCCTACTACAGACAGACAACTACGTATGAAACATAAATTGCCAGGAGCTTACTGGATGAAAAACTTAAAGCTACTTTGTTTTTAAAAAAAGTAGAACAAAGAAAATCTAGAACTGATACACAAATAAACCAGCTGACTTTTTTGTTTTCATTTTCTAACCAACACTGTGAAAAAAAGAAAGCTGGAATCCATTGGTTTCTGTGGGCAACATCTTCTCTTTCATCTTGGTTTTAATGAGTCCCCTGTATATTGTACAATTTAACAGAAACTGAGCATTAATAATCTAGAATGTGAGAATTTAGTTAATGATGATCCCTGGCATGTAGATGGAATTGTACTTTTCTGTGTGAAAAACATGAGACATGGAGAATGGTACTGTACCTGGCTGGCTCTGGAGATGGTCATGGGTCGGATGGAGAGGACTTGGTGGCTGGTGGTAATGATGACAATGTCTGCAGAACAAAGCAGGGTCAGAAGCAGAATTCAGTCAGCTCTAGTTATAAAATGACCCCTTCACTGCCAACAGGCTGGAAAGCCATTTTGAGGCGCACACTGTCTGGCATTGAAGGAGTTCAACCAAAGGGGGAGGAAACATAAAAACAAAGTAAAAAAGCATTCTCAGGAAGAGCAAGGGTGGAGAGGAGGATGGATGACATTGGAAGAGTGACAGAAAACAAAACTATTTCACCAGGAAAGATAAGAAAGGAAAAAAAATGCCATCACAAGCAAAAACATATACAAGTCAAAGCAAATCAGATTCTTGCTACTATATGTGAGGAAACAGAATCAGGAGTTTTTTTATAATAGTGTAACCAGTGTACTATTATGTGAGAGGAGAGGGTTTAACATAGTAAGGGCCATACTAATCATGCAATTCTAGAGAGCAATGTTCATCAGGGGATTTTAACTGACTACAGTTAATCTAACTTCATGAGTCTCAGAGACCTGCAATAGTTTCTAACAATTGCCGCAATGCGCAACGGTCAACAACCACTGAGGGTTCCTGCAGCCCTTGTAATTAGTCTAATTAACTGCAATTTGTTACAAAACTGATCAGCTGCGGAGGCAGGGGTTATACTGTTCTTGCCCAATGACACAGGGGCTACAGGGGTTAAACATTTTCATACATCTGAACAGCACACACCATTTGGGACCTTCTGCGTGTTTCAGGATTTAAATTAAAATAGCAGCTGCAGAAAGGCTACTGTTCACAATTAACACAACCCCTTCAATTGCATGTCAATTAATTCACAAGTGAAAGGCTAAGCAATTCAATAACAACTCTGGTATCTCTATTTATAACAATTCACCTTATCAATTCTTTAAGAATTATTGATTTAATTGATGCCTCCAGACTTACTTTGTCACTGTTTCTTTGTGATTTGTTTTGAAAAGGCAGCCTGGACTACTCATTGGGAATTATAATTTAATGATAATTAAGTAATATGTATCATATTTGTCCAATAGGGTCAACTATAAAAGAACTAAAATCTCATATGTGTGTGTCTTCAGACTTCATATATTTCTATAGATACCCTAAGGGTGAGATATTTCCACCAGAATTCCCATTTCCAGTCTGATACAGTTCCCATTGCAAAACTAAAACAAAACTAAATTAGAGGGTAACACTTTGTTACAGTCTTGTCTCTGGATAACGGGTGACAAAAAGATATAAAGGTTAGCAGGTGATTCAACCCACTAGGTACCGCTCAAAAATTAGCAATTCATTTTGAGTGGAATTGGCCCTTGCATGGGTATATTCCGTTTTTTTTTTTTGCAGTGGCCTGTTTAACATTTTAAAGCAATTACAGGTAAACCTGTAGCAAGGAATAATTAGCCAAGCCATGCATCAATATTTCTTAAGACTTTAGAAAACATTTTAGCAAATGGAATACACTAAATACAAGACAACCTAACAAATCATGTATTTTACACACCTCTTGCTCCACATAAATAGCAAAATAATCAGTCACAAAGCATTTTCACAAAACATATATACTGGAAAAATATCTTTATTTAGGACAATAAAATAGATTGTCAGTGATCAAGAGACATCAGTCTGCCATTGTAATGTAACTTTATCACAGCTTTTCTGTTTTTATTGGATATTATAAGTATAATAATTATAGAAGTATCATAATTATTAGCGCTATTTGAACACTCTGTAATATATGGCAGTCAGATTTATTCTTTATAATGGCAAAAAAATAGTGTTACTATTGAGCATTCATGTGTAGTTTGTTTTGATTTTTCATTATATATGTGAGAAAATATACTCATAGTAATGTGCATGATGGCTAGCATATTTCAGCTGGCATGGATGTACACTTTACATATATACTTTATAATAACCGAAAAAAAGCAAAATCTACTTTCCCAGTTAACAGTAGGGCCATGTTAAATTAACAAGCAAACACAATTGTGACAGTGTTGTTTTCAGTGCTTCCAGTCCAAGCAAGACTAAATTATCCACCACAATCTTAGAGCTCTTGTACAAAATATCCTCACTTGAGTTTCACTGCCCTCCTTTATGTCAGCCATTACATGAGAGTCTGTTTGTTTTACGTTACAGGGAATGTAAGAAGAAGAAGAACGCTTGGATAAGATTCATAGAGGCTGCAAGTCGGAGAGAAGAGAGCTGGAAACTCTCATGAGGAAATCTCTCTGCTGGTATCAAACAGATTTAAGAAGCCAGATTCAACCCAATAACATCCATCTGTAATTGGAATACCAGTTTTGGGTTCATTTAGGGGACAAACGTAGGAGGCCATCTTAGGGGAAGATCTATAAAGCAGTGGCATTGCATTACCTTAGCACTACTGTTGTATTCAAAATAAAAAAGGTATATAAAGCATAGGGCTTAACAAATGTTCCCTCCTCTTCATTATGCTCAGAACTCTGAAGCATGTGAAGCCCTAATTCAAATTAACAAATGTCACAGTAATGTGACCAACCTCACCTCCGATCACAGAATGCTCTCTACAGTGTCATGCAGTAAATACTTTGTGAAATGACTCCTAAAATGCAAAGCATAGTGTGGTGTAAACTCTGCGCAGTGCAGATAGTGATATCTGCTTTCCTTTATAAAATGGCCCCTATGTCTTTAATGTGGAATTTTCTTTTGCCCATTTATAGTAAGTAGTGATTAGTTAAAGGATTGCACCTTTACTTCTGATACTTACCTTCTTACACCCTCAACCCCCACCCTGCACATCCAGAGAAGCAAATTGAAAAAATCCTGATGTATGCTCCATGTTCCCCTGGGCAGAGATTGCTCCTGCATACCCCAAATTACCAGGTAGTTCACCTGCTCTGGTAGGTGTAGTGTTGGTGAGGGAACCTAGGAAAGGTAAGTATGGTATCAGCAGGAAATGAAGGGTTGGGTTGGTCTATTAAGTAAACCTGTTATTTTGCCCTTAATAAGCAAAATACGGATTCGCTTTAAGCATATCATTTTAGAAAGTAGGCTTGTTTTGTTGCCAGCTGCCTCAGCATATTAATGGAGAGCTATGAATATCTTAATTAGAAAAGTGACTTGTAACTTCTAAATATTGCTTCTACTTGCTTTCCCATCAACCATGTATTGTCAAGTGTTTCTAAGCATAACTGAAAAAAGAAACTAATTCTTTTAGGAAAGCCAGTCATTTAGCAGTGTAGGGAAGCCTGTAATTCATCAAGCCAAACTTGTAGAGTTGCAAAACAATTGTGCAGGATTAATTGTTTGCACATGCTCAGTGCTGAGTGATAAGCTCAAACTGTGACATCCAAAGCCACAAAACGAGTGGTGTGATCTCTAGTTAGGTTGTGAAAGGGATGTCTAACATTACAACAGAACATATCTAACAAAATGATGCAACAAATTATACGTTTACTTCATCAGATCTCATCAATATGCTTTGTCAATGTTTCCTGAGTGTGTTATAGTGTACTGTATGCTTATTTTACAAAAAAATAATTGTTTTCTCATTAATGCTGGTAGTTGAAAATACGTGAACAGTGACAAAATAATGGCACACAAATGTCTCTTGAAGACTGAAGAATTAGAGGGAATTTTGTACATGGACATTTGGTCCTTACTATTGCCTCTAGCTGAGCTTTGCTGCTTTCTATTACTGTTCAGTAGCACTTTTACAATGTAAGTGGACTTGGGAGAGAGTTAATGACCCCTATGAACATAGCACAGAGCATGCATACAGTCATTCAGGGCAATGCAAAGTAAGGGCTTCAGAAGCAATTCTTCTTCAAGCTTTTGTCATTCAATGCCCTGAATTACCATATGGCCAGCCTGTACAGACATCCTAAGGGTTAGAAATCAATTTGTCTGGTTCTATGTGTTTACAGTGTTTGCTATTAAATGCCAAGAGAACACCACAGCTCAGCCAGAGGTGTACTACAGAATAAACACCCATATCCAAGCAGCCCGCTATTTGTAATCCATTAAAGAGTCAGTCCATCTAAAAGTGATATTTTAGTTATAGGTGGGGCTTGAATGTCTGAGTCATCCCACAGCTGCTTAAATGTCTTGGATACTCTCACTCATAATAGCCATGGAAGTTGTGTAGACTCAGACACTCAAATTTAAGATCTTACCAATGACATCCCAGGGATAAAAAAAATTTCATGTGGTTTAACTCTCCATTATCTATCAAAAACTGAAATATTAGTTTAGTGTGGACTGGCTCTTTACTGAATCAGCTAACTCAGGACTGGAGAAATACAGGAGTCTGAACAACTTAACTTGGTTTTAAATGATATATGATTTAATCCATTCCTGTGTTAGCCCACTCTATGCGCTTGAGTTTAATTACTTGTTCTCAATAACAATAAGGGGGCACAGAACACATACTTGTTTAATGCGGTCGGGATTGACTGTTGTTTGTGGTTGCAGGATGCTAACTGGCTCAGTCTTGGCCACGTTTTGTGGCATTTCTCGTATCTTCTCTGCAATGAACCCATGGACGGCATTGAGAGCTTCAACCGTGCCCTGGATCAGACAGACCCTCTCTGTGGTACCTGAAAGATAGAAAGATACATGCTTTGAAAATATCTTTTTCATGTCATCACAGTAGCATGTAGTGCATATTAATGAACAATTGAAGGCAATACCATAGATCTCTCTTTGGGGCTGATCTATAAAAACTGGATCAAAAAGAATGGAGCTAGAGGGGAGCAGATTCCAATGGCAAGCAATCCAGTTTTATTGTTACAATCAGTCATAGATTATACATTTGGTTCCTTTGATGAATTGCTTTAGTTCTGCCACAGTTTTCATAAATAACCCCCCACACTCCCAATTATTACTGGTGTTCAGTGTCCTTACAGAAATGGCCCTTTCAAAGAAAGTCTAAAGTCAGCATTTTTTCTAGTTTTGGACAGAGTGGGGAAATGTTAGAACCCTTGTTGAGTTTTTATTGCTGTCTGTGTCCCTGTTGATGAGATTCACTCTCTCTGTCTCTTAGTTACCTTTCCTACCAAGAACGTCAGGAAGGAAAAATCCAAAAATTGGAGTTGCCACCCAAATAGAAGTAAATGTAATTCTCCAAAATAGGACCCTGATATGACCAAAATTAAAAATTAAGTTTTGGCTTCAGATGCTTTAGGCAGTAAAAGGAAAGCACTTCATGGAATGTACAAAGCTGAATTGGAATATAACAATGGAAAAAAACTCATTAAAATATAAAATTAAACATTCACATCAGTCCCTGCCCTCAAGGAGCTTACAATCTAAGATCACTAAACTCACATTCAGACATACACATACCAGGGCCAATTTAGACAGGAGCCAATTAACCTACCAGCATGTCTTTGGAGTGTGGGAGGAAACCAGAGTAATAAATTACATTAATACAAGGAGAACATGCAAACTCAGAAATGCACTCTATGTCATGGTTGGGATCCAACCCTAGTGCTGCTAGGCAGAAGTGCTAACCACTTAGCCACTATGCTGCCCGATTCTGATCAAGTGTTGTATCCATTGAAAAAATTATACTGTTCATCCATATTGAGTTTTCTTCTCACCATCCTGACTTTAAGGTTTATTGGTACTCATTTACAGAGTCTGGCTGTCAAATAATGTCAATCAGTTCTGCATCTTTTGTTTTTCTTTGTGGATAATTAATATGGATATATCTATTGAAAGACAAAATAGATTGATCTATCTTTACTCTTTACAAAGGTTCTCTTGAAATATTAAATAGTCTCTTAAAGAAATGATAACCAGAAAAGGAGGTTATATATCCCCCCCAGGGCATTCTGAATATTTCACAGTCTATCTGGGGTTTAAATTATGGCTACACACTATAGACAAGATTTTTGGCAATACTAGGACTAAACAGTATACTGCACAACCCAGTCATTCTTTTTCTGTGGAACTGTATGCATAATTGTATATGTCAAAGCTTCACTACATGAACTGCTATTATTATAATGGACTCTTGTCATATAGTCATCTGCCTTTACCTTTTCTGTTGCAGGCTTCACAGTGAATAGCATGCAAATATAATGAAGGCATTTAAACAACTAAGCTTATTTAGCCTGCACAAAGAGCAATCATGATGGGATCTAACCCAAAAGAACTAGATTTAAGTAGAAGAATGCCACCCGCAATTTATATTACTTAAAATCCAAATTTTATCCTGGTTATTAAACATTAACGTCAGCTATCTTGGACTAGCAATTGTTCAAATAACTGAGTATTTCTATGAAAAGTAAAGCACATATCAGTGGGGTTTCTGAAAATCAATGGGGTTGATTTACTAAAACTGGTGAGTGCAAAATTGGGTGCAGCTGTGCATGGCAACCAATCAGCTTCTAACTTCAGCTTGTTCAATTAAGCGTTGACAAAAAAAACCTGGAAGCTGATTGGTTTCTACGCAGAGCTGCAATAGATTTTGCACTTTCCAGTTTTAGTACATTAACCCCAATACCTTTTGTATTGGCGTTACTAACAGAAAGATACAGAAAAGTGCAGTTTCATGCTATTCATGACTATTGATGCTGCTAGCAAATGTTAATTGCTGTAAACAATGTGGATATTAAAGCATTGGATTTGACAGCAGAGAACAATACTTTGGCCATCTGCCCAATCTGCATATTGGCTGTAGTTGAAACTTCTATTTTGCATCCAAGCATAGCTGTCATTCACCAGACCACCTACTGTTTAAAATAAGCTGATCCCAAAAAAAAAAAATGGTGTCCTAGATACCCCTACTTCTTTCCCATGTGAACAGGCAGGCCAGGTATTCTCAATCCCAGCTACCAGAAAGTCCTTTCTATCTTTTGCATACAAAGGGAAAGATTTGCAGAGTGCAAAATCATGTGACAAAAGTCTGCGCCCCACACATGTCAATATCTACTGGCAACAAGAACAAATTCACATTAGATTTTAGATTAAGGCAATTCTAGTGGATATTTTGACTTCAGCAAATCTGCAATTTTAGCTGGAGACACTGAAGGATCAGTGGGGCAGGTCTTGATTTTTGTAGCAAATACAGAACAATTAGATGGACAGATAAGGTTTTACCCATATATTGGCAGACTAGGACAATGTTTTATGGTTCACAGGACTGCTTACTATGTGTTAGAAGTTTATGTAACTAAGCTATTGTTTATACATGAATACAAGTAATGGCTTTGTTCAAGCATCTTACCATGTTATAATATATAGATTAACGCTTTATATCTCCTGGGGAATGTGGTGGCCATATATTTGCCATTAAATTCCTTCTTCTGCACACCTATGAATGGTACCCTAGCTGGGACCTTCAAGAAAAAGAAAAAAAAAAAGGAGGGAGACTTTTGCCTCAACATGGAGTGTGAAATTCTGTGGCACATGGCACAAGGGCACTCTATTGCAGAGATCCACTAGATATGTGATTCCACCTGCCAACTGAAATATCAGTTTTGGGGTATAATGCATCTTTAACAACGTGCAAAGAACAGTGAGGTGTTGTAAACAACCAGAGTGGCTAATGTGACATGGATTTCTAAAAGGTCAATTGAGATGCCACACAACAGCTGGTAATGGGTCACTATGGGACTAAATAGGCCAACAAATTATTCTCTGGCTTTTACTCATTTCTGTGTGATAAGGAAATCTTACTGGAGGGCAACAAGCAGAAACTTCTCTGCTTGATAATACATTGCAGAGTTGGAAGAGGGAGCAAACAACAAAATGTCTCCCTTTAGATAAATATACTTGTTGAGGTTCCTCTCTCTGCTGCATGTGCTACCAAGCCATTGAAAATCACTGTTGAGAAAAAAAACCCAAATTCTTCAAAATCCTTCTTCCAGTACCTTTCGGCCAGGCATTATACATTTATGAATGCCCTCTTATTTCTAGACTGACAAATACAATCAATATCTTTTGCTGGAAAATAGTCAGCGAGTGGAAGAAGAATTATCTCCCTTTATTTTAGTGCTTTTTGTTGCCATAAAGTGGCACAGCAATTCTCAGCGGTGATCCACACACCCGCCACGCTGGCAGAGCTGTGGTTACCACCGGTAATAAAAATAAAAACCGTAAATCAACAAACCCGAGGAAAATTTTGTCATGTTTAAAAGCTTTCAGGCTTCATTAGTGTCTAAAAGGAACAGCAGGGTCCTTCATCATGGTTACTGAGCTGACAGGACAGAGCACTGTATTATAATGCTGCTGAGACGTGCTCACATAAAGCAAGGAAAAAAAAAATAGCTGTGATAAGTGCTTCCCGGTCCACAGTATAAATCAAGAAAAGGCACAACATCTTCCTTGCGGACACACAACCCTCCCTCTCCTTTTTGATGCCAAGATCATGTAATAATTGAAATAACAAAGTAATCACTAAAATAACCCAAAAGAGGTAAAGTAAAGGTATAAAGACTGAAAGAAAGTTTTTGGGAAGGCTACTACCATGGCTCTGCAAGATGTCACTATGGCCCTCAGTTGTCTGAAAAATGAATCGTGCTTTTCATATATTTACTATCACTAAATTGAATTTTCCATAAACAATAGCAAATGTGATTTAAAAACTGAAGAGACTTTATCAGGCCACTGTTTTTATTGTCCTTTATTGCGATGTGCTATTTTCAGCACCTAAACATGGTGTCACTGTGGTTACCCCATTATAGAGAATAAAACATTGAAAAATACAGGGCTTTGTGTACAATGGATGTGTTGCTCATAGCAATCACGTTTTGCATTTTTATCTTTTCTGTTCTGTGTCAGTTAAAGAGTATGCACACCCAACATTTCATATTTCTGATATGTTTCTGTTGTACCATGTACTTAAATGTATTAAAAAAAGTATTCTGTTGTCTTTGTAGTGCTTTGTTTGTCTGAAATCCCTGGTGTTCCTGTCAGTCCCTTTGCTTTCCTATTAAAAACTGATGACACTAAGTAGGAGAGCACAGTGTGGTCAGTTCTCTAGCTGTGCTGGGAACTTAGCCTGCTCTCCTTCAATGATCAGACGTGTACTGACACGCCCCCACCCCTGCTGCACAGCCATTTACTGGAAAGGTCAGAGGTCAGTGGACTGCTGTTTCTCCTCCTCCAGCTCTTTCTCCTCCTCCAGCTCTTATGCAGCTGAGAACAGAGAGAATGTGATCACTTATAAAATAAGGAGGAAAAAGTGTTTATAATTTTTATTTAATATTTATACACAAAATGTGTTACCTTATATTTCCATTTTCAACTGAATGGGTTACTTTACATGGTTAGGGTTTACATATAGTTTAAAGGCCAATTAGTTTATTATGGAAACACAGCCAAAAGTCTTCACCTTTAGTTGCATTTTACTATAAGGACCTCTGAGGCAGCCATGCAAGGAATGATGTGAGCATGCTTGATCACTTCCCCTGCTTTTGCTTGAAGAAGTTCTTATGAGTGCATGAAAAACTTTAGGTAGCTGATAGCATTATTAAAATTTAAAAACATATTTTGCTGCGTACATAGAAGGTATAGGTACCCCAGAAAAAAGGGGCTTCCCGGCAAAGTAAAAGGGATCCTTCTTTAGATGTCCTTTGTGCTCTCAAGCACAAAAACAGGGGTTGATTTACTAAAACTGGAGAGTGTAGAAT